CATCTTTATCTACTTTATAAAGTTGTGCTTACTGCTTCCCCATATGGATTGGATTGTTTTTCAAAAAACTGATCTCATACATCAGACAACCTGCTGGATAATAACTGTGCTCAAAATAGTTTTTTACTTTGTATCCCCAAAGCTTTATCCTACAGCATTAACAAAATATAATTCAAAGGTCAGCACTTGCTTGCTTGGCTGGATGACATATGGCCAACATAAGCAATAAATTGCCCAGTACAGATTGTCTCCGGTTGCTGAAATTAACCCAGAACTAGTGAGTATGAGGGGTCTCCTACAGTTAGAATGGACTTCAAATAAGTTTAGAATTCTCTTAACTTCTCTTCTTTGATAGCTGGTAGTGAATAGCATGTGTTCTAGTAACAAACTCAGAAAGAAAGAAAGAAAGAAAAGAAAGAAAGAAGAAAGAAAGAAATTCAAATAATTTTGAAGTTGTTCAATAAAGTTATCTTTTATTTTTTCTTTCTGCTGATATACTGAAGCTGAAGTCAAGCAGTTTTACAAGCTCTTCAGCAATAAGGCTTTCCAGGAAAACAGTTAAAGGATCAGATTTGTGATATGCAGAAAATAAATATATTTGCCCATAAATTTAAATTGGGTGCATATTTATTCAGAAGTAAATCCCATCAAGTTGTACGAGCTTAATTTCAAGTAAATGTATTTAGGATTACAGCCTTTGATAATAAGCTTTGGGTCTAGTTTCTCATTCTGGTATTTGACCATCAGTACTGATTGAAATACTGTTTTAGCCAAACAAGGTAATCGAGAGAGGGAGAAAGAGGCTATCCAGCAAAGCTAGTGAGCCTTAACTATGGTTAATGACGCCAAGCATGATTCATAGTGGCTTCTTGATCAAATGACTTATTTTTCTTCCTGGAATGTCTTGTTTCTCATTGTGTACGCTCATTTACAACTCCCCCAGATAATTCCAAGCAAAAGGAAAGAGAGCCTCACTAGTTTCTGGCATCAAAGGATTCAGGAATCTGAGCTTTGACATGTGTGTAATACATAAATTTCAAATATTAGGAGCTGGCAATGGGTTCTACAATATCACTGCATCGGGTATTCCATTCAAATGTATTCTTTGTAGAGGTTTTACATTCATTGTAGGTACAAAAGAAATACTAATTATCTTCTCTCCACAATAATTAATGTTTAAAATATTGTTTTCATCTATCACAAGGCGTAGGGGCTATTAGAGTAACATAAGTGGAAGAGATAGGGTGGCATTCTTAGCTGTAGTATTGTGTATATTTGTTCATTCATTCAGTTAGAATTGACACTGTATCTTCCTTTATGTCTATTTGGACATTCAAGCATTCTAACTAGGGAGTTTTCTGATTGGAGGGGGAGTAAAACATCTTGGAATATCTGAGGCTATAAAAAAGGGGTGGGTGGGGCTGTATATGGAGGATGGTTACATGCCCTCATTAAATAGATACCAGAGAGCATCTCTTTTTCTTTTTTTAAAGAATTTATTTACTGGTGGTAGCTGCTGAAAACTTTTTTCCTGCACTGCTCCTGAGGCTCCCAATAGGAGGACTGGTTGCAATGGCTTTTTTGTTGCAATGTCAGTTTTAAACAGTTATTGTATTTTACGAATGCCCAAGGTATCTAAGCTACTCACTTGTTGATTAGAAGAGCAAAGAAACCAAATACATACATACATGCATACCTGTCTTACATGATCAAGCCAAGACAATGGAGGAGACGGCATTAAAATTGCAAGTCATGTTCATACGATATCTTGTTTAACGACTCACAGTGGCTTACTTAATGACCCAGTGGGAAGTGACATCATAAGCCTGTCACAGTAACATGATCTCACTGTCCGAAAGTTTTTCCTTATTTCCAGGTTAAATCTCTCTTTGTTCAGTTTCCATCCATTATTCCTTGTCTGGCCTACAGGCGCTTTAGAAAATAGCTTGATCCCTTCTTCTCTGTGGCAGCCCCTCAAATATTGGAAGACTGCTATCATGTCTCCCCCGGTCCTTCTCTTTACTAGACTAGCCATGCCCAGTTCCTGTAACCGTTGTTCATATGTTTTAGTCTCCAGTCCCCTAATCATCCTGGTTGCTCTTCTCTGTACTTTTTCTAGAGTCTCAACATCTTTTTTTATAATGTGGTGAATAAAACTGGATGCAGTACTCTAATAGGATGATGTGCAATAAGAAGTGGTCTTACTAAAGCTTTATAGAGTGGTATTAGTACCTCCCTTGATCTTGATTGTATTCCTCTGTTAATACAATTTAGGATTGCATTAGCTTTTTGGCGACTGCTGCGCACTGCTGGCTCATATTTAGCTGGTTGTCCACTAAGACTCCAAGTTCCCTCTCACAGTTACTGCTATTGAGCCTGGTTTCACCCAATCTATATTTATACTTTTGGTTTATCTTGCCTAAGTGTAGGACTTTACTTTTCTCTACATTGAATTTCATTTTGTTAGATATGGCCCAGTGTTCTAGTCTGTCAAGATCCATCTGGATCTTGAGCCTATCTTCTTGGGTGTTAGCTATTCCTTCCAGTTTAGTATCATCTTGGTAAGTTTCCCTTCTATTCCCTCATCTAAGTCATTAATGAGGTTATTGAAGAGTACTGGGCCTAAGATGGAACCTTGTAGCACCCCACTGGTTACCTCCCTCCATGTAGACTTAGATCCATTTAGGACTATTTGTTGAGTATGGTTTGCCAGCCAGTTGCGAGTCCATCTAGTGGTGGTGTTATCTATTCCACTTTTTTCTAGCTTACTATGAAGTAGGTTGTGGTCTACTTTGTCGAATGCCTTGCTGAAATCTAAATATATTATGTCCACATTATTTCGCTAGTCTACTAATTTAGTCACTATGTTGAAGAATGAAATAAGATTGGTTTGGCATAATCTTAACAAAGCCGTGCTGACTGCTAGTTATTACTTTACTTGTTTCTAGAAATTTTTTTTATTTAGTTGGGACTGCACCGCTTAGCAACAGAAATTGCTGGTCCCAATTGTGTCACTAAGCCAGGAGTACCTCTAATTATGAAAAAAAGCTTTTAAATACTTTGGTTTACTGACTCATTTTTCTCTCCTGCTTGCTTCTGATAACAGGAAATGTCCCCAAAACAACAGAGGACGGCGGCAGAAGCAAAATTTAGGCCACTTTACTTCAGATACGTCATCCAGAATGGTTTAGCAGCATTTTTTATACCTACATTGACCATGTGATGTACAATTTTATTAACTTTTTTTAAAACAATGGAATATTTATTTCAGAGGCCTTATTTTTGGACATTTTAATTATTATTGTTATTATTATTATTTTTAGTGTAGCTCTGTCTCGTTTTATTCCAGGAAGCAGCTAACAGCTATGGACTGCTCTAGTAACTTCTCATGTCATGGTTTGAGGAAGATGTTAGTTTATTTCTTGTATTTGTATCCCATGGTTATATTGATAAGACTTATGCTTTAATCAAGGAATGTAAGAATTTTGAAAGGAGAGACGTTTCACCAATGGTTATTCAACAAATAAAAATGGAGCCCATCATGTTTCTTAGCAAAAAGGGTAAAGATGTTTACAACATACTTTTCTTATGAGGAACTAGAAGACACTGTGTTTAAATACCGTAGATATTTAAATGTTTTTAAAACTTAGTAATGGATTTTTTTAGACACTGCCAATCGCATGAAATGTGGATATGTGTTTTTGTGTGTAGTTGTAACATTTAGAATGGGCTGAATCCAGGTTAAGTTAGCTCTATCTAGTGCTCATAAGAATCAGTGGACGAGTTAATCTAAATTCGCATTGTTTTCAATGAAAACAAATTGTTCAATTAACTTAGAATGCAATCCTATACATCTGTACTCAAAAATAAGTCCCATTCAGTTTAATGGAAATTATTCCCAGGTAAGTATGTAAAGGACTGCCTCTTTAGTCTGGATCCAATCCAAGATATATGGCCCAGGTTTCAGTGCCATCTTCTTCATAAATAGCTGACACTTTTATTTTTAAATTGTAAAATAATAATTATAATATACAGTTCATTATTCGAAAAACTGCTCAGCTGAGCAGAGCACATTTGTCCTGGAGAGACAAATATATTGGTTTTTTTTGTTAAGACTTATGTTAATAATCCACATACCTATTGGGATGTAGCTGTGTTAGCCACTGTTTAAACAATTTTCATATTTACTACACTTTTCTAAAGAAGATACCTGTTTTCACATCAGCAAATACAATTGTATAGTCTTTGTGATTAAAATGCAAAAAAACAAAAATAGTATAAAAGATTTTGTGCTCTTGTCAAGAATAATTTCAAGAGCTACGAATGTGTCTCCCAAAAAAGTCTGCTGGTTGTATTTATTATATTAATAGGATGTTAGTAATTGTTTGGAAGATTCAGAGCTAAAATGTAACTAGGGTGTGTTCCAACTGTTTAACATGTAGTTTTAGGCTTTCCAATTCTGCATGTAGGAATAAATAATTTGTTCAATAAAAAGGCTTTGAATATTTCAACTGGAAAGATATGCCAATGCAATGTTTTCTTTTCTTATTTAATCTGTCCCAAATGCATTTATTCATTATTGTAAGGAGCAACATATGTGCCTGGAAAGAAAATGGGAAATGTCATTTCAATTGCAAAGGTCTGTTAGAAAGCATTGATCCTCTCCCTACCACCTGAACACAAGAAAAAAATATTAACATGGATTTTAATAGACCGTGGGTGAATTCTTTGATTGCTATATTGTTTGCTGTTCCTAGATTAACTCAGATAAGTTTATGGTTATATGAGTGTGTTTCTTTCAGTGCATGTTCCTTTCCCAGTGTGCTGCTTCCTAATTTTAGAGGGTTCATATTGCAGGAGGCACTTGGACAATCAGGCGTGGCTATTTTGTGGGTATAAATATTTGACAAGTGTCTTGGGGTGGAGTTTCAGACCCTGCTTTTGAACATTCTCTTAAAGACAGCTGTCGAGCAACCTTCTTGCATCAGTGCCAGGATTGTCCCACTGAGGTTTGAACGGCTGTTATATTTCAACTCCTGTAGACTGATCCAAGGACGGGCAGTATGGATCATTGTGCAGCACAGGAAATAGATAAAATCCACCCAAATCGCCAGTCGAGCATCACGGATGATGAAGAAGAACAAGATGCTGCGTTTACCATTGTCAGAGTCCTGGACAAGGTAGCCACCATAGTAGACAGCGTGCAGGCCAGTCAAAAACGGATTGAGCAGCGCCACAGAGAAATGGAAGATGCCATCAAAACCATTCAGATTGACATTTTAAAGCTGGCTCAGGCCCACGGCAACACAGGATACACAGTTAACAAGCTGTTGGAGAAAACACGCAAAGTTAGTGCTCGAGTCAAAGAAGTGAGAGCCCGAGTAGAGAAACAGAATGTTAATGTGCAGAAGGTGGAGACCAAACAGGAAGAAATGCTGAGGAAAAACAAGTTTCGTGTTGTCATTTACCAGGTAATCCTTTAAAAAAAACAAACGGCTATTACCTGCTATTGCAACTTCACACTTTCTGGTTTGCTTAACAATCCAAAGAACGTTTTTTTTTTTTAAAGCCCTCTCCATCTCAAAATGTGTTATGCTTTTTGGTTTTCTAGCATTGATTTTTTGCTTCTGAATGTGCTGGAGCTTGAATCCACTGGTGGCAAGGCAGGCAGTCTATTATTGGTTCGGGAAGTGTCTCAGCCAGCCAACATAAGATTAAGTGTAGATCAGCAAGACTATGTGTTGCATCTGTGAAAGGCAATCTGAGGCAGGCAGTTGGGTATCATAACTAGTATTCCAGGCATGACTGTTGTCCCTGTTATTTTTTCAGAGGGTTAAGTAGAGAATTCAGCCTCAGCAATTCTTTGCACAGTGTAGTGCTTCCGTTAATTATGAGGTATTTTCCCCCCTTTTAAGAGCTGAGTTGTGTTTTCTTTGCTAACCAATTGCCTTTAGTATAAGTATGCTATCTCTGTGCTGTTTTTCCACACAACAGTTTGCTTCCAAATTCCCTTTCCCCCCCCAAAGAAATATATATTTTTTTGTCTAAAATAAACAAAAACAAAATCCCGGCACTTAAATGGACATCTCAAAATAAGGTGGGAAAATAAAGTTAATCCCCTTGCAAAATTCAAAGGGTCTATTTGGAAAAGAAGCGAACGGTTCCTGTGTTATTCAGAATGGTTCTGTCCTAATCAAAGCGTTTTTGCACATAACACTGACTTTGTATCCTCTGTTCAAATAATTAATATTGTGCTTAGTTGCAGGGGCATTGAAATTGCAAATGCAGTAGTGTATTTAAGAATCCCAAATCCTGTTAGAGATTCAGACTCCTTCCTTCTCCTTAAGGTCATCAGGTCTTCACTGTCTTCACTTTTGGCCATTGGAATATTATATTCTTTTCAAAGAATAACAATTGCAGTGGGGAAAAATATTGCAGTTTTGTTTATTAAAATGCTGGAAGACACATAAAATGCTTTCATTTGTGTAATTTTTTTATACTTTGAGGAAGTTGACATATCACATTCATTGAAAATGTGATGTGCTGCACTGGAAACAAATAGTGGGCAGAATCCAATCTAAATATTTTTCAGCTACAACTCATTTGCTGCAATGCTGAGCCCTATTGAACTCATGTTTCTTTCAAAATGAGAATTATAGATGCTTGTGTAAACTCTTCCTTAAAAGATTCAAAAATAAATTTACCAGTCCTTACTTTGGCTGGATTGTTCCAGTGATTGCACTGAAATAAAAGACATGAGACTTCGGCTGTCACGTTTGAGTATGGGGAAAAAATTATCATCTTGCATTACTGTTTGCTTTTATTTTTATTGTGGATGGTATGGTTCACTTATAAAAGCAATAAATTCTAGTCTTGGGTACATTTATGTGCCTCTCGCACATATGGACTTTGTTGCTGTAACAGCGGAACTCAATAAATTATGTATATGTATATTCATTCTCTGAATTATGCTAGCATGTCTTGATTATGAAATTTAGAAATGTCATCTCTAGTTATGTCTGTTCTTCACAGAGTAAGATCCAATATTCAGGAAGCAGAATTAATCATCGCTAGATAGGGCATAAATAGCCAAGTGGCTGAATGGTCGATCGGCTTAGCTTGGCTTAGCAATATGTTTGCATTTCCCATGATGCCCCAACTCCACAAGGAGCAAATTTGTACCAAAACACAGAAGAATAGTGGACAGAGAGAGTTGATTAATATTGAAAGCACTTTTGCCAAAAGTGATTGATCATCATTGAATATGGAGTTTGGTAAAAAAAACCAGCAAGCATCGTCCTTAGTTGCCAATTAACTGATTATTCTCTCCTTCCTTCAAGAGATTTAGTTGCACAATTGGTCAACAATCTTACTTCACTGAGAAGAATATTGAATGTCACATTGACTTAAATATTATTTAGATTTTTGTATAATGTGCAAGAGTTCAAACTCTTCAGACTAAAATTTGTAATTTTGACAGACTTGAAAAAAGTTGCTTAGTATCATTGGAGGAAGCAGTAGTTGAGCAATTAATTGATCTATAGTTAATAGCCTCCAAACAAATCAGGATTTAAAAGCCAGTATTAAGCAATAGTTTTATATTCTGCTCTATTTGGGAGACATTGTTCTTACAGATAATTGGAAATCGATTGTGGCTTCCAAGCATAATTTTTTTGAGTAGAGACAAGAATAAAGTGATTGCATACTTATGAATTAATTTCATATGATTTGCTTAGCTGAAAGCAGCCATTTTGTGGGATTTTGTTGAGGATGGATTGATTTGCCGCAAAGCCATGTTTAGTGATAACAAGAAACTACAGTAAGTCATATTTGTTCTTTCCTAGAAGTTGGGAGGGAAGGTTACATTTTCAAGTCTGGGTTGGATAGACATGGTGTTTCTTATTTAAATTTCAAATCTGGTTAATCTTAACATTCGTTTGTTTCAAGAAACATTACTTCAAACTTAAAATCAGTAACAGCATAATTAAGGAACTCCACCTCATTTTCAGGTTGGTGCAAAGTTTTGGTCTATATTCTTTTTTCTTTTAATTTTGAAAAAAGGAAAACTATCGCATTACTTCATTCTATCATGTACTTTATACTTCTGCCAGAAACAAATGAATTCTGGCTTACTTGTTCATCATGGTTCAAGGATCAACATAGTTACATTTTCTCTGGAAGAACTGAGCCTGCTGAACTAAGCAAATTATTTTTTTTCTCCAAGTTTTGAGTGAAATGTTAGACAATATCTCTAAATCTTTCAGAATTGGAATTATTTGCTGACCTTTCCTGAACTTCCCTTCTGATGCTGTATGTTCCATTAAGGTGCAGAATATCTTCCAGGAGATTCTAGGGATGTGTGATACATAAACACAAAGACCCAGGTTCATTCTCTGACATTTTCAGATGCTGGGAGATAGTGCTTAATCTCCAGAACATCTTTGCATCCAGGCTGCACTAAATGTCTCTTTGCAGGGGGAAGATTCCAGCAGCCTTGAAAGAGGCTTAATTGAAATAGTATGGGATTTATCTTCAACCTCTTTTGGGTCCTGTGACAATCAGGTTTTAGGCTATATTATAAACTCCAAATCATATTGGCTAGCCTCATGGATGACTTGTGGCAAGTCTTGGGTAGGAGGAGTATGACAATCCATATTCTACTAGATTTCTCAATAGAATCTTTTGGGGCTGTCTGAGATCCCATACTCTGAAGATTCTATTCCTTGAGTGATTGGTTGTAACTAGGTGGATGAGGAGAGGCTGGGCCTTAGAGCACTCCAGTAGAAGATGCCACAGTATTTACCCTGTCCTAGTGAAAATCTTTGTGATGCCCCTGAAAGAAAGAAACTGCCAGGTATCAGTGACATTATATTACTCGACTGGGAATCTCCACAGCCAGTTGAATGGAGAATGCAATGGAAGTTCTAAACTGCTAACAGGAGGATGGCAGGGTCTGGATGAGGAGAAAGAGGATCAGTTGCACCCTGAGAAAGATGAGGTGGCTATTCGTTCTTTTAGTCTCACTCAATAGTTCAGTCCAGAAATCAACTCCACAGAAGGCTAAAACTACCTTTATTGAAAGTAAATATAAAAACGAAACTTGCAAGTCTTGATTCTGTTGTCAGGTAGTTCTCCACTTATGGTCACAATTGGGACTGAAGTTCCATCACTGAGCAATACTCTCCTTAAGCAAGTCATGCTGATTTTAAATCTTTTTTTGCCACAGTTGTAAAATGAATCACATGGTCATTAAGCAACTCCACTCTCCACCATTGTTTGTTGGAAGCCCTCTGGAAAGGTTGTTAATGGCGATTTCTTGGCTCGGGGCTGCTGCAGCTTTTGTAAAAACATGTGGCTTGCCTCACATGCCCGTGGGGATGCTGCAACAGTCTTAAGCGGGAGGACTAGTTATAAGCCACTTTTTTCAGTACTGTTGTAACTTTGAATGGTCATTAAACAAATGGTTGCAAGTCAAGGATTTACTTCTCTTTTTAATTCTGTGACATTAGATACCTGTCTGAACCACTTCAAAATGTTAACATGATGTTCTGGATTAAAACCATATTTAATCTTGGCAACAAAGCTTACATGTTTCTATCAATGTCATCTTCCTTAGTCTACATCTGAGAGGCCTAGCGATTCTAGAAAAGTACCAACTTTGTCTTTCAGTTGATTTGTGGTCCCAAGCAGAATCCAGGGTGATAACTTGTGCTGCTCATGGACTCAAAGTCCTGCAAGACTAGTTGGAAACCATTGTCTTGGATTTAGCTGATGCACTAAGAACAGCCTTATCAATTATCTTACTGTCATGCAGGCTATTGCATTTCTCAAATACAATCTACCTGCTCAATCTGAGCAAATGCTAGGCCACCCCATAAGCAGTCATGGAAGCAAGCATTCTTTGTGGGAGCTCCCCTCCTTGGGAATATCTTATTTCTTCTCCCTGGTGCAAGGAAGTCTCCAAATCTCAGAGCCAGATGCATGAGTGTGAAGTGTAAGGCTCTGCATTTAGGCAGGAATACCCAGTGGCACAAGTACAAGTTAGGCAGTATCTGGGTTAGCAGCAGTACTTAGGAGCAGGATCTGGGTGTCCCAGCAGGCCACAGATTAAGATTGAACCAATAGTGTGCCACAGCTATCAAGAAAGCCAATGCAGTCTTGAGTGGCATCAATTGAAGTTCAGTGTCAGGATTTTAGCAAGTGATAGTACATTCTATGTTCAGCTGGTCAAATCACACCTGGAAAACTGTCCAATTCTGGTCACCATAATAGAAAAAAAAAGTGCTGAAGAACTGGAAAAGAGTGCAAGGAACAACCACAAGAATGGTAAAGGGCTTGAAATTTTGAATAATTAGGAATTTGGTATGTTCAGGGGCAACATAATAGCAGTCTTCCAATACATGAAGGGATATCAGTGGGAAGAGACTAAACTGACACTGTATAGCATCTGATGGTAAGAGAAAAACCAGTGAATGGAAGTTTTATAGATATCCAAAGTTGACGAATTGCCTGACTGTGAGAACCATTAAGGAATGGAACAGCCTCCTTCCTGCAGTTGTAGATGCTCCATCAGTATAAGATTTTAAAAAATGGATGGCCATTTTCCTGGTAGGATGTGACAATCTAGAAGACAATTCTAGGTATAGACCAGGCTGTTCTGGAAGGCCATGAGAGGCTGATTGTTGTCAGTATGATATTTAGTTAGTGTGATATTTAGAAGGTTGTTGGCAGGATAGGTTGATTTTTATATTATAGTAACTGTAATGTTTACTTGTTTACCTGCATGACATTGTAATTGCTCTTTATGTACACTGTTCCTTGTGTATACATTGAAGCAATATATCCATTTTATAAATATATTAAAATACATTTCTCCAAGTCTTTCTACAGCCACATTTTCATCTCTCTTCAAGATCTGGAATTGTATAACTCTCCCCTAGTTGGGAAAGATGATTCTCTTTCAGATAGAGAAATCAAACAGAATATTTTCAGAACATATTTCTCTTTTATAAGTAAATCTGCAGCCTTTTGGTGATCTGGACACTGCTAGAATGTCACCTGTAGAATTCCAAGCCTTGCTGGTTTATTTTTTCCATGGGCACAATCTCCGTTAGGTGTCTTTTTGGTTTTGATTGTGATTACTTGCCCATCTTTACACTCCATATATTTGAACTTGGTTCTATATCCCAACTCTACAGTTTTTCCAGGGTAGCTGTACTGAAAACAACAAAGGTTGGAATAGACAAAACTGTAATTAATCATAAATGGTCTGTTGAAAGTATACTCCCCATAAGATTTGTGTGTGTATGTGTGACTGACATTTATTACTATACAAAGACTCATTATGCTACAAAGACTGATCAGGATTTCTTGACTGTGGTTTAAAACTGGTCTCAAATCTGGATTATTAACTGCGTTATTAACAATAATTAACTGTGCTGTAATTAACACTGTTTTATTGAAAGACCAATAAAGTTTAAGAATATGATTCTGTAGTTAATTTCTTATTAATGGTATGGTCTGCACTAACCCCTAACATATGAACAATTAGAAAGTTGTTTGGACAGGGACAGAACAAAAATGATTGGGCCTTATGCTATTGAATCGTTGTGAATGTTCTGAAAAATTTAGCATAAAATAGAATGATTGAGGCTGCAAATATCTGGAATTTTCTAAATTCACTTTGAGCCATTTTTGAGACGTGTGATAGAGACATAACATTGTGCTCTTACTTATAGGAAGACATTCAGTGTCCATCTACTCTGACCGTTGTCAAAGACCGGACACAAGGGGAAAGCACAGAAGATGCCTTCTGCCCACCTGATGATCTCTCTTCTGATGAGGAGTATTACATAGAAGAAAGCCGAACAGCCCGTTTTAAGAAATTGGGGATGAGACGGATTAACAACATCAAAAAAGCATTTTCAAGAGAGAATCTTCAGAAAACAAGGCAAAATTTTGGCAAGAATGTGGATAGGCTTCGTACTCGAATAGTAACACCCGAGAGAAGGGAACGAATAAGGCAATCAGGAGAAAGGCTGAGACAGACTGGGATACGGTTCAAGAAAAATATTGCCAATGTAGCACCAACTAAGGAGAATTTGAAAAAGTATAGGAAAACTAAAGAGCAACCAGGGGTTGAAGATCAACAAGGAACCCAAGAATCTGGCACTGAAACAGCAACAGAAAGTAGGGAAGCTGAACCAGCCACGGAAGAAATTTCCTACACTGAAGTGATAACCAAAGTGAAGAAGGACAAAGGGGATGGATCAAAAAACCTTTCTCAGGCAGATGAGAAAGTAATGATTCCTTCCGAGAAGAACATGATCAAACCAGAGACAAAAGAGGATGCACTTCTATTGGATCTAAAGCAGCCAGCTTAAATGGCAAACATCTGCTGGTGAAGTGGTGTCACTATGGCAGGGAAAGAGCAGTTCCTTTCATGTTGGAGGTGCAAAATGGTGGCATTCGTACTGCCTGCAAATACCTTGAAGTATTGCATGTTGCAGAAAGTTTGGGGCCCAGCCAAGGTTTGGTTTCTATTTGGACATGCCAAATTGGTCAGTTGGATTTATCTGCCAACCCACCAAACCAAGCAGCATGTGTTAAGACATTCTTTGCCTACTTTGCGTTGTTCAAATGTATTATATTCTAAAACTCTCATTATCCCCATCCTTATTATGAATTTTGGAAGTGGTACTTGATAGAGTGCCTGGTTGGAGGAAATTGTTATAGGACTTTTTTCAACATTTCTCAATATTTTACAGGAAAGTCAGTAATGACAGACTTGCTATCGTACAAAGGCTATCCTACACAGTTTGCCTGATGATTGATAAGCTCTTCTGGACAATCTGCAATCCCAAGGGAAAATTGTAATCTTTGTGTAAAGAGATGTGCTTGGATTAAATTACAGAAAAGAATAGATCGATATGTACATATAAATATATATACTCTTTTCTTTTACATACAATGGGGGTGTATCTTTATCACTTGATGATTCTCTGCTAATAATAAACAATTTCCTTTTAACGTGCAAAATGCCATTTACCCTAACAGGTACTACATTTCAGCAATTAAAAGGTGATAGAAACACCACCACCACCCCGATTTAATGACATTACTTTTTCAACAAGTTTCTTCTGTTTTTATTTTTATGTACAGCGGCAACTACAAAAAGTAAATCTCATTATTTGACTTATAAGAGATTTCCGGCTGTTGCACGAAGTAGGTGAATTGTGGGCATGAACAAATCCATCAACAGGTAACCATTAACTCTTTTCTCTCTCCCCCCCCCAATACTTTTATCCAAACAGGTTTCCCCCTCCCCCCTCCCAGGAACCTCTTTTATCCAGATAGGTTTGTTGGAGAAAGTTGATTATGGTAAACTGCAGAGAATTGGACATTTCTTTGCAAGACAAAATATGGAGAGAACTCTAGTTAGTTCAGGGAATTCACCTTTGCCCCACCTGGAAAAGATCATTAGGATCTTGCTCATAGTGAGCAGCCTGTAGACTGGCCATTCCATGAATGAAAGGGCTCCTTTCATTTAGGAAGACAGTAGGATTCAGCATAAATGTCTCTCTGGAGGGAGAACAGGGAGGAGTCAGCAATAGCACTTAAACTTTTATAGTGCTTTATAGCAGGGGTCTCCAACCTTGGCAACTTTAAGACTTGTGGACTTCAACTCCCAGAGTTCCTCAGCCAGCTTTGGAGACCCCTGCTTTATAGCACTTTACAGCCCTAAGTGGTTTTACAGAGTCAGCATATTGTCCCTGGGTCCTCATTTTACTCACCTAGGAAGGATGGAAGGCTGAGTCAACTCTGAGCCTGGTGAGATTCGAACTGCCAAATTGCAATCAGCCGGCAGTCAGCAGAAGTGGCCTGCAGTACAGCACTCTAACCATTGTGCCACCATATGGTACACCATGGTATCCCAAACCACCAATGATTTAAATGGCTTATTGTTGGTTCATTCAGCCAATGTATATTCTTTTCTGTTTCAGAGGCTTAACAGTGTAACCAGTCAGTAGTGTGGTGAGATCCTTTGAATGAAAAAATAAAAATTAAAAATCTGTAAAGGGCCTGTTTGTAAATGTATTCTTTTAGCTGCATCAGTTTAACAAGAGAACTTGCCTCAACTTTAGCATGTTTGTTGCAATGTAAAAAACAAAACAAAAACAGAATTGGTGCTTTTACGCAGAGCTGCCGAATCTCCAGAAGGTACTCATTAATGACCCAAGTTAATGACCTTTAAATAAGGTATTGTTTTCTGTCAACTCTCAAAGACTTTGCTCCAGGATAATTCATTACGGTGCCGTTTCTTAATCTGCTTTTGTTTTACAGTTTTAACACTGATAACAGTGTAATCCAAGTATACACATTTTGTATCAATATATGCAGTGTTCCATGACTATATCAATTATGCAAACTACTTTTTTCCCCTAAAATTCGCTATATTCTGCAGATTGTAGTGATGTTGAGCTTTGCCAAATGCTCGTGCTTTTTGATTATCAAAACTCTGAGACTCATCTACCTCAGTATAAACATATTATCTTTTTGATCATTATAAAATATATTTTTTTCAGTCATATTTAATAGAAAAAATATGCTTATCTTCTGCTTCTTCTCCTGCCCCCTTGCCCAATATTGTTCAGGACACTGTTTTCCATGACCAACATATTTTTGGCTTAAAGTTCTGATATTTTTTTGTTTCTCAAGTACGTGGTAATAGCATTTAACTTTCAGAGCCAAGGAGTAGTAGTTGTAAGGAAGTAATGCTACACTTTACATTCAGTGGTTCAACAATTTCAAAGTGGATTAGTGTTTCCAGATTGAGATGAGTGACTTAACTGCAGTGGAAGGCAGAAGAGACAGACTGTATAAGGAGAAAACAGTTTCATATGTACTGTATGTTTCTACACACTGTAAAAATAAGAATGGTACCAAATAAAAAAGAATATGTAAGCATGTTAGTCAGAATGTGTTGGTAATTATTTCCCAAACTGCCGATACATAGATTTTGTGGGTAGTTTAGGTTTTATTAAGGATCAAAGATGTCCCAGGTTATTTTGGTCTTTGCATGATTTGTTACTTTTGCTTTAGAGAATAGAATGAACTATAAAATAAAAAAGGACAAAAACCAATTCCTTAGGTACATATTCCAAGTCATAGAAGGAATTTTCATTTTTCATGCCAATGTTGCAGAAATTAATTGCAGCACTGTGATAATTTTCTAATTCAGTAAACATCAGGATATGTTCATGGATTCTCTTCAACAACCATCTGGGTTCTGTGGTGTTATTTTTTTTAATGTCCCACTTGGACAGGTATACTTTAGGACAGTGGTCGCCAACCGGTGGGCCGCGAGAAAATTTTGGTGGGCTGCAGAGAAATCTCACCCCAGAGCACCCCCACAAAGCAATTAACCCAGGCTGTGCAGAAACACAAGGCTGCGCCGCCCACATGGCCCATGGGAACCCTCCCCGCCCACTCACTCCTTACCCGGTAAACTTGCCTGCTAAATTGCTATTTTTCCTTTTTCTGACCACCATCTGTTCTGCTGTGCCGGGAGATTTAGATTAGCTAGGAAGCAGGAAATGGTTGGATTTCTTGCTTTCTAGCTAGTCTTTGGATCTTTGGCTCTGCTTCCCTTAGGACTGAAGATTTGCTTGCAAGCAAATTCAGTGCAGACTCACGGCAAACAAATTTGAGAGACTGAGCTAGCCGATGGCAGATAGATGATCACTGAATGATTCTGTGAGCAACTCAATCTGCCTGCTTTGCCTGATTTTAGGTAAAAGTTGCTCTTTTTTTAATAAAAAATTCAATATTTACATGCATGGTGTGTTGTGAGTTAATTTTGCGAGTTTGCTTGCAAGCAAATTTTATGTGACAGACTGAGCTAGCCAATGGCAGATAGATAGATTTCTGAATGAATCTGTGATTCTGTGAGCAACTCAATCTGCCTGCCTGCTTTGCCTGATTTTGGGTAAAAGTTTTTTTTTTCTTATAAAAGAATTCAATATTTATATACATATTTATAATATTTACATACAAGCCATGCCCAGCCAGTCACATGACCACCAAGCCACACCCACAAATAAGGCCATGCCCACAGAACCAGCTAGTGGTCCCTGGGATTTAAAATTATGAGCTTGGTGATCCCTGAGGTCCAAAAGGTTGGCAACCCCTGCTTTAGGATGTTCTACGGGAAGCTATAGGTCCATACACAAATATTTTCAATGATGTTCGAGTGCAAAATCTAGGTTCCCACATCATTTCTAAAATCAGGACACCCTTGCCAAATATTGCTCATCTAGACGAGGAAAGTTGCTGTTGGATTATCCTTGTTCTGACTCACATGCACATTAGTGTGCACTACTCCCACTGATCCTCTTTAACTGAAGCAAGGAGGGGAGGAATAAAAATAGAAGAGTAGCACAAATTAAGAAAGATTGGGGGTGACTTGAAAACATGGCAATCTTTCCCTCTTCCACTTTTTTTTCTAAATAAGGGAGCAGTTCAGGCAAACCCTAGGTGGCCTCTCAAGAATTGAGCATGGCTATTTCTGTTGCTGCTTGAAACATTGCAGGAATTTCATAGTTGGCATCCATTATAGCATCTCTTTTTCCCCAATGCTCAGTTGAACTTTTGGAATCACTTTGCAACTTTTTCAGATTATCAGTGAAATAAAGGAAGAACACAAAATTTCTGCGCGTTCCAATGAAATATTTTAAAAGAGTAGGTTAGTCTTAAATACATTGGAATTGGGTAGCTACTAAATTCAAATTAAACAAAGTCTACTTTACTTGCCTTTCTTTTTGGATATTTAAATTCTGCTTTTAAATTATAATGATATTGCATGAGTGGAATTGATTCTCATATTAAGCAACAGATCCAGTTCTAGAGACACTGACATTGCTTATAGAGCACAACACAAGGCAATTGGGCCATGAATTACCTTATTTTTCAGTTCCTTTGAGGCATAAAAACATCTTTTAAATATGGGCAAAGAACAGCTTCACATCCATTTGCAATTTAAAAATTGTCCTCAGCTACCCCAGCTACAAAAAGATTACTTTCACAAATATGCAAACATTTGGTACAAGCTAAGAGCTATTGGCATATGCATCAGACCCGGATTTTTATTATATGAATCAAAGCTTTGAAATGTATATGGCTTTAGCGATTAGGCCATTTATTTCATTGTGCAATTATCATGAAAATTGGTCCTTACGAAAATAAGATATAAACTAAAATTGGTTCTTATCATGGAGATGTCGCATACTAAGTTAAAACACATAATCTGCTCAAAGCAAGATACTTTTCTGTCCTAAATCTGAGGAGCTGATGAGCAAGAGTCGATGAGATAGTATTGTCACATGAGAAAATGCTTACATGATCCGATTCAAAATGTGCCAGCATATACAGTGATAGGTGGCCTTAGGTTTATCTGTGTAACACCTTTGTTATACAAGCAGTACTGGCTTCCAGATTCCTTCTGGGTACAATTCAAAGTGCTGGTTATTGCCTTTAGAGCCCTATCTAGGTTACCTGCAGGACTGCCTTTCCCTAAGGGCAGCCACCTGCCTTATCAGATTAGATAGGGTGGACATGTTTCTAGTCTCTTCCCTAAAACTTTGCCATGTATGAGAACTAGGAAGTGTGTAGCAACCCTTGTCCAATGGAACACCTTGTCTTCTGAAATTCAACAGGAATTTCAACAACCTGCTTAGCCTTCCATCAAGTTTTGAAGACTTTGTTTTTCCTCCAAGCCCTGGGGTAGGATGAGGTGACTGTATATGTCAGAGATTTCACTTGGTGCCAGTTTTTTGTTTTTAATGTTCATGAATTTTGTTCTAACGTGGTTTTATTTTATTACTGATATTGTTCTAATTCTTGACTGGAAGCCGCCCACTTCAGTATAAGATGGGCAACTATATAAATGTTTAAATAAAAAATAAATCTTTGCTCTACATCAGAATCTTCAGTGTAAGGAAGCTGATTTTCCCATTTACTAGACTTGATAATGACAATATGTTAATTACAAGGCTTAACATCTCATCATAGAATGTTTCTTTTTAATACATTTCACACTAATAAGAGTTAACGTAATAAGCATTAAGCAAACTAATAGAGAGACTGGGTTCTAATAAACTACTTCAAAAATCTTTAGAAAAGTTCAGGGTAGGCTGTTATGACAGAAGTACTGGTATAGAATTGCCAAGTAAAACCTAACAATAAGAAGAGTGTAAAAATATCGAAAAAGTGAAAATGAATCCCCTATGCTTTAAATAAAATATGTCAAAATTAAAGAGTAAAAGTAAACCCATTTATTTATATTGCATATTTCTAGACCATCTACCCCCCTCAAGATAGATTTTGCAATCTTTAGTAAGACCATAACATCCTCTGGAAGGAGAATATTAGGAAAATTAACACCCTAGAGACATTTGGAGTTGTGAATTCCAGTGTAATATGGGAGCCATCATCTAAGACCAATGTTCCAATCAGAATAATATCTTTGAAAATATAGATGATGAACATGTCTTATCCCCTGTGGCAGCAAAGAGTTAATGCCTCATTTCTAAATTACCTTAAAACCAAAGTCATGCTAGCAGTTGAAACAGAAATAG